TAACTATGGCCAGCCCCCATCACCATTCCCTCCTCCCTGTATTAGCAGGTCCCTCTGTGGGGACCAGGAATATGGGGCGTCTCTCTAATTGTCTTCCCCCCTATAGGTACAGCCTCCGTCACGCAAGAGCCAGGAAAGCCACCGCTGGAATTCTGGGGCATTATCCTGATCTCGCTCGCGGTGGCTGCTGTCACTATTATGGGCTGCACGGGATGTTTCTTCTTTTTCAGGGTAAAGCTCTCGGGGAAGGGGAGGAGGCATAGGCTGAGTTTGGGGCACCCCTCGTGGCAGTGAGGACTTCTGGGGCCTGAGGGCAGATGATCACTGGCTCTCCAGCTAAACCCCAAGTGTCACTGAGCCATCATCTGGTGGACTAGGATGACCTGACCCCCACAGAAAGGGGGGAAGGGGAAAGGACACCAGGGAGAAAGGAGGAGCACTTATGAAAGGGGGATAGCACCCTTCAGCTGACCCTCCTCTGCACCCAAAGTCTCTTGCCCCATAATTAGGGCCCTACCAAATTCACGGTCCATTCTGGTCAATTTCACGGCCTTAGGATTTGAAAATTAGTCAGTTTCACATTTTGAGATGTTTATGTCTGAAATGTCATGGTGTTGTAACTGTGGGGGTCCTGACCCAAAAGGGGCTGCGGGTGGGGGGCACCCTGGAGCTTCCTGGAACCGCAGGATGTTCCCGGAGATGGAGGTGCGTCTAAATGAATTAGGTCAGGTTTATATAGACCCCCCCATGCCCCCCCCCTCCCAGCAGCCTCTGAGAGGATTGGTTAATTGGAGTCAGCTGCTTGGGTTTGGGGGGGGGTTTCCCCCCTTCTCCATGTAAGTTCCCGTTGTCTCCTCCCCACCATCCGATTGCCCAGTAGCCCTGAGACGAGGGCTGCAGGTGGGAGCTCTGGTGGCCGATTGTCCTGGAGTCTCCAGGAATTAAAGTTGCAACTGAATTAAGGATTAGATCCTGTGATGAAACCTCCAGGAATACGTCCCGCCAAAACTGGTGACCCCTAGTGGGAGCCGGTAGAGCAGGTAGTTGAGGACCCAGGGGTAGATCCCCCTTAGTGATGATAGCACTAGATGGGGGACATTGATCTGAACGGGTATCAGAAGGGAGTGGGGAGATACCACGATACATAGGCCCATGGGTTGGCTCGGATGCAGTGGGGGGAGATACCAGGCTGTTTTGGGGCGGCCCCAGGCCTCTTCCTAAGCTAATAATGACAATTCCTCCTCCCCATTCCAGAGACGTCTCCTCTAAGCCCAGCAGTCCACAGTCCGTCTGCCCCATTCCGACCTCCATCCAGCGTCTTCCCCCCACCTCCATTCGAGACAGCCTCGACAGAAGGAACACGGTGAAGTAACAGCCTTCCCCAGGGAGAGCTCCCTACATGGGGAGAGGACATCTCCTAAGGGGTTCGCCCCACAGCTGCATGACCATCCAGGGCCGACCAGATGTGGCCTCCAGGGTGCAGACCCCTGATCTTTATTTTAAGCCAAAGGAAATCCGTAACCACAGGCACAAATCCAGATCATCCCAGAGCTGGGGATGGAACCCAGAAGTCTTGACTTCCAGCTCCCGCCCCGTCTTGCTCTAACCCCTAAGGCTCCACTCCCCTTCCACAGACAGGGATAGAACCCAGGTGTCCTGACTCCCAGCCCCACCCCCTCTAACAATTAGATCCCACTCTCCTCCCAGAGCCCCAAGGAGAGAACCCAGGATCCCAATAGGAATGAAAGCCAGAGTATGTGGGCGCCCAGCTGCCCCCAGGATACCCTCTGGGCCCCACCTTGTGGAGAATCTCCTTCAGCTAGCGCCCCCTGCAGTGGGACTGGGATCCCACGGGTCCCGCAGGACCCACTCCTATAATAGCGATCGCAAGTAAAATGTACTTTGTGGTGGGCGGGGCTGGGTGGGGGGAAAAAAAAACCCGGCCAGACTGCGGTAATTTGCGGGGAAACACTCAATCTCTCGTCAGTTTACCAAGAGGAGCTAAGGCCTATCCGGATGTTACAGCAGAACAATAAAAGTGGCCTAAAATGAATAGATACCAACAATTATTTAATTAATAGAGGCCAGCAATTGTCTGAATTCTGGGTGTATATAGACATGTATAGATAGATATAATATATTAACCAACCTTCTTTGCTTGTTTGCTTGTTTTGGTAGCTTGGGGGGAATCAGGATTTGCAGGATCTAAGGTTTTTGCAGGCGGGAACGGGATACAAACGCAAGAAACGGTGTGGGAGCGGGTGGGAGTGGCTCCTGCGGGGCGGGACGGGAGTGGGTAGTCCCACGCAGGGCTCTACCCGCAGCCACCGCTGTCTGCGGCAGTTCCGGTGGTGTCCAGCAGGGCGGGGACATGACACAGGGTCTCTCTCAACCCTGGCCTGGCTTAAGGAGCCCTGAATATGGTGTGGAAGTGTTTTCTCCCCAGCCCACACGCTGCAGGTGGCCATTTTTGCTGCATTCAGCTGTGTCGCCAGGCTAAGGAACTATATTTGTCGGGATTAGCCCGGCTATTGCACGGGGCTGCATACGTCTCTGGCACACTGCAGATAATGACAGCCTGGGGCTGATACCATGCTAGCACCCAGATCTCTCGCATGGGCAGAAAGTGAATGACCCCCAGAACTGAATGATATAAGCTTTGCCCAGGGCTGAAGTGCAGCCACCTCTGGGGTGGAGCATAGTGGCAGTATAACACTTGCACAGGGATCATTCAGCCAGTGCTGAAATGCAGCTGCCTCTGGGGGTGGAACATAGTAGTAGTATACCAGACACACTGCAATGCACTGCAGGGATCATTCACCCACTGCTGAAATGCAGCTGCCTCTGGGGGTGGAACATAGTAGTAGTATAACAGACACAGCGCCGGCTCCAGGCACCAGGCACCCAAGCACATGCTTGGGGCGGCACCTGGTAAGGGGCGGCGGGGGGAGC